AACTCAATTTTGAATTTATAAAAACAGTAAACCAAAAATACTTATTCGGGCAGCCGAAAAAAGATACACCAAAGCTGCCCATAGTCGTCGTCGAAAGAAGAAATCTCAAATTTGACCGGAAACCGTAACAAGTTATTTGCCTCCTCACGTCGGTCACCGGACTACTTGCCTTTAATCTCAAATCTGTTGGCCGCTGCCCTTTTCCTCTCATGTTTAAATAAATAAAAGCATCAAATCATGTCCCTTAAAGTATAGTTTCGAAATTTATATACAAAAGGAGAAGAAGATTGTATATTTTATAAAACCCAAGTTTATAAAATATAAACCTTAACATTTAGGTAAAAGACAAAAAGTCATTTTGATCCAAAATGTTGTACATGATTTAATAAATCATACCATATGATATATTATGTTACTTGCTAATGAAAATTAATTATTTCCTAGAAATAAACAATTCCCAATTTAATTATAAGAGTTTTATTGAATATTTATTAAAATCAATTTCTAATAAATAATCAATTGTATCAAGTTGTTGTTAGTGTGACCCATTAGTATCATATGTTATTTAGCAATATCACATTAATATGACTCTTGAGCATACTAGATCTTTCAAGAACAACATTTCTCTCTTCTTCTACCTTGGTGATGTCGATAGCCTGATGCAACGGAGCCACCGTGCCAATCCATGCCCGTTCATGTCGACCCGGTCCAAAATGAGAGAATTTTAGGGTTTCTTGATACCCAATGGGTTCGACGGAAGGGTTGGTCTCGGAGTATGAGTACCTGAAATCAAAGGGTAAATTTGATTTTATAGGAAATTCGTTCAGGGGTTTCTTGTTCGATGCATTTCCTTTGAGCTTCTTGTTGTTCTGGTTTTGGGGGTTTATAGTTTTGAGGATTGGGGACAAAGGTGGGTCGTCTTCAAAATGAGATTTTGTTAGATGACGGAATATAAAGAGGATTGGTGGTCGGTTTTGGCTGTGGAGGTTGTGTAGTCGCCAGGGAAAAAACTTTAGCATTTACAGGTGAGAGGAGGAAGAGTTTTGTTTGGCGATTAGGGTTTAAGGTTTAGCGGTGAATTTACCGGCATCGTGCTATCATTTTATCTTTTTTTTTCCTCAAATTTATTTAAGTAACTAATATATTGAATTTAGAAACTTAATGATTGTTTATATAATGGTTTTGCATTGGATTGATGGTGGCGGTGATAGTGGGATGAAACAGAAGGTAATGGTGGTGGTGGTGAGATTGATGATGGTTCTTCAATGTCAAACTCTACGTGGGCATCCACATGGCTATGAAAACCTTTGAAAGTCAATGTGCACATAAGCAAATGTAACCTGGAAACCTGATAATTTTAAGCAAAATAGTGTTTACTCAAGTAATTTTCGAGTTTAATTGTTTGACAGATACAAAAGAAAGCTAAATAGTCATTTAAAATTAAACGTAAAACTTTTATGTGTTGTTATGTCAATAACCCATAAGTTATTTAATTTACAATAAATATGTTAAACTTGAGCAACCATTGTAGCTTTAATTTTTAACCAAAAAACTTCTAGATTAATGGTATCCGGTGTTGTCTCTCCATTAGGTTGAAGGTTCAAGTCCCATTAAAAACGAATTTAAAAGTAGTTTAGAAATAGGGTAAAAAAAAAATATACTTTTGAGGCACATGTTATCTTTGTTTATTTAAGTAATTTCTTTCTTGTTTTTTCAATAAAATTTGTTAATAGTGTCGTCTTCACCCAAAAGTTGATGAAAACTGTGCATAATTTGTTTAATGCAAAATAATAATAATAATAATAATAATAATAATAATAATAATAATCCTGACAGGTTGACATCTGAAATAACCTTCCGGTATACATGATACATCATTATTTATTTATCTTAATTAAATTTATTATTATGATATTAGATACCTGTAATCGATTATCTTAAATGTGTAATATAGTAGTCTGTTAAATTTGCTAATATTTTAGCCACCAATTTTGAGTGGTGCAAAGAAAAGGTTTGTGGGGGACGAGGTAGAGGCAGAGGGGGTCTGCTGGCTTCCAGCATTCCAAATTAATAAATTATAAATGATTTTGACTTCTCATTCTCTCTCACAACACCTAACTAATAGTTGTCAACTTGACATCTTTTATTGCATATCATAATTATTAATTAATACCCCTCCGTTCCAATATTATTGTTCACAGACAAAAAAACACACATATTAAGAAAAACATTAATTACCACTAACTTTATTTAATAAAATGACAGTTTTATCATTACTTTGCATTTAATGTTCCATTAAATTCTTAGTTGGTTAAGTAATAATGAGGAGGTATTTTGATAAAAATGTTATTTATTTTTAGAAGTGGATTATTATTTTGGGACAAATCAAAAATAAAAGATGGACTATAATTTTGGGACGGATGGAGTAACATTTAAGAATATATTGTTTAGGTGATATATATAAGTTAAATAATAAGGTATTTCTGTAAATCCTATCCTATATATGACTAAAAAACTAATCACGTGAGACTCCTTAATTATATAAAATACTCATAAAGACTTGAAAAACCATTTCGGGAAAAAAAAGTTAGTCATTAATATTCCTGACAATAAAGACAATTGTTACGCATATTAATCAAGTATAAAATCTACATGGATTATGGGTATGATGTTGTTTGCAAAACCAGTAAAATATTTTTAATTGTACAAAATACGTAGAGTATTTTTCTTATGCATCGTTTAATAACAACTTGTAATAAGTGATGGATTTTCTTTTTGTATTTTTATCATAAAAAGTTAGTTTTCCACAAAAGTTACAACACTACACAATACAAATGCCACAATATCAAAATGACGTCACGTTATTATATTCAATAGTAAAATGAGAACTCAGTCAACCATTTTTGGGACTTTTATTTCATGAATGTGACACGTGCAACACTACTTGACGCGTTACCCGGTCAACATTACATGAATCTCCCCATACTATGGAGATCTCACCGTCCAACATTACATGGTATACCGAGAACGAGCAAACTCGTGGTCTATGTGGCCACAAAAGTCCTGCGTGTACACCATCCTAACCTTTCGTGGCTGGGCATGGTCGTGCTCAATTGTGGTGCAGACGACGAACATAAACGGCCAATTGGCTTTCTTCTTCATTTTCTTACCGTTCAACATCCATTATTATTATTATTATTATTATTTTAAACATTGTCTATATATAAACACAACAAAACTTATACACTCAAACCATTCTATATACTCTCTATCTTTAAAAACAAATATACATCGATTTCTTTAAGAAATTCGATTCAGATGATAATGGAGAATTCATCTCAACGTTCTTCAATGTTGTGCAACACATTCACGATGAAGAAAGTTCGAATGTTTCACATTCAAGAGCGGTCATCAATCGAGATTGTTAAGCCGCACACGACTTATTGGTATGTGATTACTTTGCCGATATTTGTCTTTACAATGAAGATGCGTTCGAACGTCGCTTTCGTCTTAATAAAGCTATATTTTTAAGTATTAGTAACGTTTTAGAGGTCCGTTATGATTTTTTTAAACAAAAATCCGATGCTAGAGGAAGTATGAGTTTTAGTAGTATACAAAAATGTGCAGCTGCTCTTAGGTATTTGGGATACAGTATAACCTTTGTTGCAGCTGACGAGTACTTGAAAGTATCTGAAAGGACTGCAGTTGAGTGTATAGATTGGTTTTGGGCATGTGTGTATGAGGTTTTTCACAAAGAATATTTGAATAAACCTACTCCACGTGATATTTAGAGATTACATTTGGCTCATGAAGAGAGACATAGATTTCCGAGTATGCTTGGTAGTCTAGATTGTACGCATGTGACTTGGGAAAAATGTCCAAATGCATGACATTATCAATTTACTCGAGCTGATATAGGCGAGTCAACTATAATACTAAAAGCTGCCGCATCTCAGGATTTGTGGATATGACATTTATTTTTTGGAGTTGCAAGGTCTAATAACGACATTAATCTTCTTGGTCAGTCTCCTCTTTTCAACGATATTTGGACCGACAAAACATTTGATATGTCATTCACGGTGAACGGACATACGTACAAATACGGTTACTACCTTTTGTGATGAGATATATCCTGATTATTCTAAATTTATGAATGCATACCCAGTTCCTCAAAGTGAAAAAGGCAAAGTTGTTTTTTTTTTTCTGTGTTTTATTTTTTAATTTTTTAGAGTTCTAGGTTATTTAAGTAATGTAATTTATAATATTAATGTAATGTTTCTTTATTATTGAATGAAAAACTAGTTAAAAAAATTCAATGTTTTTTTTAAAGTTGTATTTTTATTGTATTTTTGAATTAAAAAAATAAAAAAAAATGATGTGGAGTTCAGTGCCACTGGTGGGTATCCCATAGGATTATTGGTAGTTAGTGGTGTTGATATTACACTCATCACTATAGTGGTTAACGATGAGTATAACAGATGATCTAATGAATATGTTATCAACGATAATAAGAACAACTTTAGATAAAAATAATAAATTTGATGAACTTTTACAATTATAACAAAGTTTAATGAGTAATAACCGCAAATTAGTGTAATAATTTTATTTTGAACGGCGAAAATTTTATTAAACCGCTAGCAAAGGAGCTAGTGTGATACTTAATTTCGATCTTAACCATTTTCTTTTCAGTTCATGAATTAATGAATTATGACTATTCAGTCATTATTTTAATCCGATTATGTATATAAAAAAATAGTTATATGTTAAATTTTATAAGCCTTAGAAAAAAATTTGGATTTTTTTTGTTGTCTCTTTCTAAAACGAGTGTTTTTCAGTTATAAATATGACATTTAGAGAATAACAGCTAGAACACCACTGTTAACCACATCCATGGTGTAGACCCCACTCTCACCTTCCTTCTATTCATTACTCTCGCTATTTAAACACCTCACTTGTAAACATGTAACCTACGTTTCCCATTTCTTCCTCAAGTCTCTAACATGGCTCACTTAAAACTTGTCTTATTTTGCTTCTTCTTCTCTGGAATCTTGATTTTCCGACCAACCACCGCCAGACCCATCGTTAAACAGTCAAGAGAAATAGATCAAACATTACCAGCTCTTGCTCCAGATTCAGCTTCTTTAGTGCCTGCGGAGTCGCCGGATGGATCAGACCTTGATCATGATCTCCAGACGAAAAAGCATCATCACTCGTCGGTTGCCGGCGGCGGAGTGATAGTCGGCGGACTTGTCACTATCGCATTTGCAGCGGTTTACTGCTACATTCGGGTCACTCGTAAAAGAGAAGGGGAACACCATTGAAGATATCATCATCTACAAATAATTTCGTTTTTTTTTGTTTGTTATGTTTTTAGTGATCACATATGTTAATAGTAGATTAATTAGCTACTTTGAACTCAAAATTTATATTAATTTTTTTTTTATAAATATGAGCAGTGAATTTGTCTCGTATCAGTCGTATGCCGATTACGAATTTGTTGTAACTGACATTCCACCGACGAGCACCACCGCAATCACCGCACCGACCATCATGCTAAAAATCTTGACCCATCGAATCGAGCGAAGAATATGGTCATCTTGTAATTGATTATTTAATTATATTTTTGTGATTTTATAAAGCAGAGTAAAGTTTATATAAGTAATTTAATTGCAAAAAGAAATAAAACAAAAGTACATAATTGGTCCATGTGGTTTGGCGTAGTAGACACATATAGTCTAATTTAAAAAAATGAATAAACTTAGTCTTTGTATTTTGTTGATATTGCGAAGATGGTCCTTAATCTTTTAAAATCTGATTACGGTGCCCTTTAACTTAAGTGACTATAAAAATATTTTTTTATTTTTTTATTTTTCGTATTTTTTGTTTTTATAAATATTTCCCCATATAGTATGGATCATTTATGTAACTTACCCTAACTTTCATCTACTCGAAATCAAAAGTCACCCACTAACCTCCATTTGTGTCGACCTTCATCACCATCGTCTGCTCTCTTTTTTCTTCTTCCTTTCGCTACAAAGTCAGAATCACATCAAAAAGTAAAAACTAATAATTGTATCCAAATATGTGAACTTTACAATAAGGAATGGGATAGAACCCAAAAAGTGATCTATTAAATCCATTGCAACCAAATCCTCTAAAAATCTTGAAAAATAAAGAACGAGATGAAAACACAATCGTTACATGTCTTCCCCGGGTTTGTGAGCGAACGAGATGAACACGACAAAGACATCATGAATGAGATGAACACCTCATTTGTGATCTTTTCCGATTTCCACTATCGACTAGTGAATAGAGATTTGACTTCTTTTCGATATTATCATGAGAGTGTGTTGGTTCCTTCTCGTCATTTTCAGAGGCGATAATTAAGTTCATTAGAGTCCGATCACAATACCATTGTTCCTCTTCGCTTTGTCGCCGCCAAAGTACAACACATTCCCCTTTCTCTTCCCGTTTCACATCCTTTGATCCCAACACGACGACATAACATAAATTAAAGATGGCAACACATCAACCTCATCCATCCTCTTTGTCGGCGACAGATCAAGCTATAAAAAACCCAAAATTGAAGTTTTTAAAGCCTTCAGTAAAGTGTTTGAGGATATGATCGTGATAGGTTGATACTTAGAGTACTTTACATAAATGGTCCTTGTTGTTTTAGGAAATATTTAAAAAACAAAAAATATGAACAAAGGGTAAAAATGTTATTTTACAGATATGTAACTGCATTTTTAGACGCCGTGTGTCGGAAGGTCTATCATCGTAATATCGACCAAACACAAGGACTGAGTTTGTCAATTTTCTTGAAGTTGGACTATATGTGCCTATTTCACCAAATCACATGGACCATTTATGTAACTTTGTCAAGAATAATAGCAAAATAATTGGAAAAAGAAAAGAAAAAAAAATCAAACATGGTCGGTTTTATACGTAAAAGTTAATTGATAATTTGATTTTGATGTAAATGTACGTCTGCGTGTGGGTACCAAAGATCCGCGTGATCCCACCAAACTTCTAACCCCAACTTTGAGTATTTGCTTTGATGCCTCCACTGCTATTATATATGATTGTGGTACCTCATTTTGGTCTAAAGGTTAAGGTACTATTATTTTGTCACTAAATTTAAAGATTTGATTTTATTATATATATATATACTAGATTATGACCAGCGTTACGCATAAATAAAATATAAATTTATATAGATATTGTTGAATAATTATAAAAAAAAACAGGATTGTTGGTATTATTGAAATGCGTAGAAAATACATTGAAATCGGTAAATATATATAGTCGTTGAATGACCTCTTTATAGACAACATTTTTTGTTTAATTAGTTGAATGACTTTCTTCGTCACATATGAGTACCTTCAAACATTTGTTACTTCTGACACGGGAAACAACTACATATAGTCGATCATGCGTGAAAATGGGTCTACACAAGTATAATCCAACATCTGACAATATACTTTCAAAATACAATGTTATTTTATGGTTATATTACGAAATAGAACTGTTTATTTCAAAAAATAGCAACTTATTTATTTTCCTTCAAAATGAACCACATAAAACCCCCACAATATTAAATATAAAGAAACTTTAACCAATAAATATAAAAACAGTTATGTTTGCTCGATTTAGATATTGCCCGTGACTCATTGAAAATGTCAAAAGATAGAATTGGCACACAACATACTTGTTATTAAGAGACGGATTAAACAATTTAAACACATGTGGATGTCTTTTTTATTTTATGATAATGATAAAATAATGGAAAAAAGAATGCTTACTTCAAGGCATCTGCGGACGTTTGAGTAAGGTTTGTGGTCTTAACTGCTGAGTATTCGTATCTTTCACATATAGTTATTAAATGGTTATTCAAGATGAATTAAAAAAACAATTTTTCTTGTTGCTTCGATGCTAAACAGATAAAAGAACAAAAAAAACTTGATTTTCATTATATACCCATTTAGTACAAAAGTAGCCAACCGTAATTAAAGTAGGGACAAAACCATTAAGGAAATCGGTAAATTGAGGTTCTATTCCTTAAACATGTGATAAGGTAGAGACATACCAGGGCATGCAGTTAAAAACTCGAATTCCTTCATCACCGGCTCAATGGGTTCAACGGATAACCCTAAACATATCAAAAAACTTAAAATTTTCAAATAGAAATTAATAAAATGGGGTCGAATTGATGAGAATGTTAAAAAGATGGAGGTGTCGATAATCTACAATTGGATGAATAGGGGATCTATTTAACAATTTAAGATGTAAATCACCTACTGAGAAGATACTTGAATATAACACCAAACGATCATAAAAAGTTAATGGAAGGAAGTGTCGTAAGGAATAAAATTGAATGTTTTTGGAATGAATGAAAATTTTCAAATTAGTATAACATGTACCTTCGACTATCAGGTATAGACCAGTTGTAGCAAATTTTGCATTACTTAACCGACTCTCTATAATGTATAATTAAAAATCAAGATAGTGTAATCATAATTTATTGATGTTAGTTAAAATGTAATTTATTTTGGGATGAGATTAGTTTTTGGTTATTTATTTTGGAAGTATAATATGTATTATGCATTACAGAATCTTACCTTTTTAGTTTAGCATTTGTTACTTTAGAATTTTATTTTGGCTTGACATAGCCATGATCATCCCATATTTATTAATTTTCTCTTCTTGCACCTTTACAACCTGCTGACCTGCATTCATTAAATCAAGATTTAACATTTTAAAAAAAAATATAGACAAGAAACTATATAAAATAAAACATGTAACATATTCATCACAAACTTTTGTATAACAATACTAATGAAATAAATAAAATTTAGTAAGGGACGATGGATGGGTGATCTTGTGCAAAATTATTTTTATTGGCTGAAGTGTACTCCATCTAGAACATATGAATTGAAGTGCTCTGATAAGTCGAATTGACAAGCAATAAGTAAAATAGGAGGTAATATATGTGAAATATTCACAAATGTCACATAAAAAATGAATCAAACAAATGGAAGAACTACAATGTTTGTTAGGCGTGAGACTCATAATAGCAACATACTTTGTTTAATAATGAATCAAAGTAATCATACATATGAAAAAAAATATTCATTTACAAAGATAGAAGTTTTCTAATGAGGGCGTTCATGTCTTTTGTACAACCCGTTTGTTATATTATGTCATGTCCTATCTTGTCATGTCTATTGATTTTTTACAAAGGTATACACACACATGTAACATCATAATTCCATTACATATAACATCCAAGTTTAACATTGAGTTTACTGTTTTCGAAAATAGGATCATAGTTACAGATTAAAAAGATGGAACCAAGAAACAAACACAAAATGAAAAAAAAATATATAAATTCAAAAACAACACTATACATCCAAATTATAAGTATTCAACAAAGAACCATACGAATGAGTAAAAACATATAAATTCAAAAATAGTATCAGACTTACAGATTAAAAGGATTTAAGGAAGTAGTACTTACACTTATTCGACTAATTAGACTGATGGGAATGTTGAAGTTTTTTTTGCTTTTGTTTTCTGCGGAGGAATTATGACAAAATGTTTGTGTAAATCGATTATTAAAAAGAATTGAAATATATATATATAAAAGTCAATATGATGAAAATTAGTAGGTAATCAATTAAATCCCTTTAAACTTAAAATATAAGATATCATGCTGGAAAATGTATTGGTTCATAATAATATCCGAAATTTTTGAAATTTGAAATTAATAGTTTCCGAGATTTCAACATATATATATTTGGAAAACATTTTTGAATGAAAATAGAGCCTAAATTTAAGGTTTACATTAATAAGGAACCAATTTTGTAGTTGTAAGTTTGGAAAGAATTCAAGTATTATTCTCTATCAATTCATGCATTCAATTTCCTAATATATTGGTAAGGAAATCTGATTTTGGAAACTTTAAAATCATCGCGTAAGGCTTCAAAACAAACGGGTTGACTTCTTGTTTGATTAAGGTGACACAAGCAAATTGATCTAAAGGTGTAAAACCTATAAAAAACACAATCAACGGCCCTGATTGTTTTAGATGATGTCATAAGGTTTCTCTTTTAATAATATTTAGAGATTTGGAACACGTAATATAGCCAATTATGCATGTTTACAGCCTACAGAGTAACTGTACAGACATACATGTGATATTATATGTGGAAATTTTATTTACAAACTTAAATTCGTCCTTATATTATTTTCAGTTTTAAAGTTATCAGATCCATAAAATTAATAAAACTTAAGATTTTAATTATATATTCATAAAAAA